TGCCAGTGGCCTGTATGGCCCTTTCAGAGACGCTGCCGGTAGTGCTCCTTCGTTCGGCAACAGAAAGTGTTACCAGCTACCGCCCAATGCCAGGAGCCTCGCCAGAAGGGCTATTGTAGGTCTCCCTCCATTCAGAGAGAGTTATACTAATTCGAATCTAGCAACGCGATGCCGCTGAAGGTGCTGATATCCTCATGGTCAAGCCTTCTCTTCCTTACTTGGACATCATCTCGGATTGTGCTCAATATGCTCCGGATCACCCCACAGCTTGCTACCAAGTGTCCGGAGAATATGCTATGGTCTGCGCAGGAGCCGAGAAGGGCATATACGAGCTGAAAGAGATGGCTTTTGAGACAACGGAGTCTATGGTCAGGGCAGGTGAGCAATTCTTACCATATACCTTGCAGGATTGATAGCTAACACCGATGATAGGCGCCAGTATCATTCTCAGCTACTTTACACCCCAGTTCTTGGACTGGCTGGACCAATAGTTACACACACATGATCTTCTGGTTGTTCGTTCTGGTTGTCCGTAACTCTGTTTGAGTCAAAATCCGTCAAGCGCGGGGTGCGCATGCATCGTCAACTACTCCACCCCTCATTCATCAATTCATGAACGCTTCTATGTCCCTAATCGCTTGTGTGACCACCTCCCCTTCGGTGATCACCTCCTTATCTACATCGTCCTCCAAAACAAAGCCCCGAGGAAGCAGCTTCCCCATCGTATTCTGCATGGCCAACTGCAGATCGTTTAGTTCTCGAAGCGACCTTGCGAGTCCTTGCAGTTTCTCTTTTCTCGAAGCGCCTGGAAGAGCCCCGATTATGCTGCCGCTGGTCTCGGGAGAGGCAATGAATATCTTTGAAAAGAGTAACGCCAGGTTCCCGGCGAGAATGGGCGCGAAAGCCTGAAAAAGGTCAATGATGTCAATCTCCAAGTATACAGCATCACTCACATCTTCTTGGAGGCATTGATATCTCTCATAGAGATACGCAAGTTGTCTGCCAAGAGGCACCGGGGATATACAACGACAACGAAGCAGACACCCGTGATTACCGAAGCAATCTCCCTGCACATCTGCCTCACCATCAGCACAGAGGTCAACAAGAACAATGGCATGCTCACTCGTGCGAGCAATCACAGAAGCACAATTCCCATCCGTGATAGCCGATGTAGTAAGTAACGCCAGGCCAAAGCACAGATACTCCTCTTCCGACATCTCTGGGTCTTCCGGCTGGACCGATGCTGTTTCGCCTTGTCTGGCATCCTCGTCCATCTCTGTCGCAGTGCTACTACAGCGTCTCCGGCGCATTTCGTCTGCCGTTCCAAGGATGACTTTTCTGTGAAGAATGATTCGGGCAAGGAGAGAAGGTCCACCGGAGGACTGGATGACGGTTGTAGCCCAGGCCGGGACGGCGGTAGCCAGATGCGCTAGGAGCTGGATGGCGCGGACGACACATGTAGAAGCTGTATGCCTCGTTCAGTTCCTGTGCGCAAGCTATTGAAAAAGAACATACCTTCAAGGTCTGGGTTTGGGGACGTAAGTGCCACGTTGCAACTTATGACCGCCACGTAGATGATATTTTGAGTGTTTGACGTGTAAGTCTGGAAAAAGTTTTCGCGCTGGGATTTTGATTTCTCGACAAGGGAAAGAAGGATCCCGAGACACTCAGCCAAGTATTGAAACTCGACGGAGCCCCCTTCCATGATTAATTCCTAAAGCCACATACTGAGCATTCCATACGAACCGAGCCACGCAAACATACCATGCCTTTCTCATACAGATCGAGACGATTTATCACCGGGAAGATTTCTCTTTGCAAGTTGCTTGAGATAAGTGCTGACAGATCTTTGGACTCCAAGGCTTCTTTTGCAGTGGTCCACAGAGGCCCGGAGCAGATATATCTGAGGAGCACAGATGCCAAGCGGCGTGTCGTGAGCTTGACGACGTTAGCTTCAACCATATGTCCAGTTGTGGTGACATGAGTACTCACAGTGCTCTTCCATCCCAAGTCCAGCTGGTTTCCTAATTGTCGCAGTCTGGTCACCTGTGGAAACGTTGGTCAGTATTACACCACTGATGACTGTCAATTCAACCTACCGACCCAACCACCTTTGTTTTGTATGTGGTGTCCAATGGGCCGTCACGAAGATCGAGGTTCTGAGCGACTAGGGCAACACACTGTTCGGAATTGCTAGATAAGACCTGTTCTAGCCCTGATCCTGATAACATGAGGACGACAAGGAACAGTAGGCAGGCTGCTCTCATTATCTATATTCATAATGCTCAACAAACGATCATCAGGGGTTTCGGTAAAAGGGGACGTACTTCATCTTCGAAGCTGGGCCCATAGAAGCAATCCCACGCCTTGTCCACCTGACCGCAAATCTTCATCTTTGTCAGCCAGGATTCATCCTGCATATTTTGAAGGATATCGACAGCACTGAAGAGATTGTCAACAAACGTTACGTAGCCGTAGTCGCAACATCTGACCTTGATTTTCTGAAGGCGGAGCTTGCTGTGGGATCCGAAATGCCTTCCAATAGATAACCCAATTCGTCTATGAACCGCCTGTTTTCGCCTCGGGACCTCATGTCGGACACTGTCTCAGGCGCCCGCGCTTGCATCATTTCCTGTGATGAATTAGATGTGATCTCCCACAGCGTGTACTTGTTGTGAAATGTACTCACCTGAAGGAGACTCGCTGAACGACTATTGGGAAGGACTGTGTTGTCGACTTCATACTTGTGTCTCAGTTCCGTATAGCTCTCTTGGGCTTCTTCCGAATCGATATTGGCAAACGTAGATTGATTTCCGGGCCCCTCTTTGGGTTGCTCTACAAGCATAGTCCGGACTTTACCATAAGTCCGCTTGGCCCTTCCGCCCGAACCTGGCTGAACTGCCTGTATCTGAGGTATCGGAACCCCTTCGCCCTGTGATTCCTTTGGATTAGGCATGTGAGGAGATTCGGGCATAGAGTGCAATCGCCTGAGTGCCCCAGGCGGCGTGCGTGGAGCAGGGACCGACGGCTTGGTAGGGCTGGCTTGGAACCCGGCAGCGTCCCCATCATCGATACCAGAAGTTGGAGAGGGCTCTCCCAGACTCTGAGTTTTGGTGAGCATACGCCGGAGGCCACTCGGCTTTGGTAAGGCTAGACGAGAGCCCGAGGAATCTGCCTCGCTGTCACTGTGTCCATCCAAACTCCTTGCTGGGGAGTGAGATGCTCGTCTTCCTGGAGAAACACCAGCGAAGATAGCGGACAGGTCTGGGTGTTCTATGCGATTACCTGAAAGAGTACGGGTGATTGGTCTTTTGGTTTGTAGTTCTCGCATAAGAGGAGGGGGAGGTCGACTGGTAGGCAGTTGGGGGGAGGGTAGATCATTCGACGATCCTGGTTGTGTGTCTGCGCAGGCATCTTGTGCCTTGGGGGCTCGCTTGGTGACCAGAGTAGGGCGGACAAGACCAGAAGTCCGAGCTGGTATATCTGCTTTTGGTTGGGGTCTGCGCTCGGGCGAAGGTGATGAAGAGTGACGCCTTGAAGACGAAGTTGGTGTGTCTCCAGTACCTGATTGCTCGCGTGAAGCTGCCCTTCTCCGCTTTGCTGTATATACGCTGCTGCCAGCATCAGACATCCCTTCAGGTCGTCGACGGCTGTGGTCGGTACCATCATCGCTGGCGTCACTTTCACCGCCGGTCAAGAGCTCCGACTTTCTCTTCTGTTTATGGGCGAGGGAGCGCCGTCCATATGTCCTTTTGGCGGTTTTGTTTTGAGAGACATCTGAGGGAGAGGTGGGCATCGTGTAGCCGAGGTCCACTACGTGTGATATGATGAGGCAGCAACGGAAACAAAGACCAATAACTCGTAGCTTGTGTCCGCAACAACATCATGTCAGAGACGGAACTGAAGGTGGAGGCGCCCCACGTGGTATCAATCCTCGCGTGAGTTGGCGTCTGAGTTTGCTTTTCCCTCGCTCGTGTACGTTTATACCTTGTCAGGGAGTGGCCGCTCGTTTTCATATTTACATGTTATATCACTCGACGTTATAAGCATGTACGTGTTTCAAAATTTCAAATCGTCCTCTTCGTTCTGTTTACCCTTCCTCGCGCGGTTGCTCTTCCTCAACTTCTCGGGGGTTTGTGATATGTTTTGCGAGCTTGAAGTAGAAGAGCTACCGGCGGCCTAAGAGTCCGTCGATGCAGGTGTTGTGGTAGAACCTTTATCATGTCAGAAGGAGAAAGTGAAGTGTCAGCATGAAATATACTGACCCTTCTCGACCTTGCCGAGCAAAACGTCAGAAGAAAGGGCTTCTTGGCGAGGCCTCTTCGCAGGCGAGGACTGGGGTGTATCATCGTCGGACACCTAGCAAGCATTGTCAGGACCGGATTAGGACGAGATGCATGAAGAATAGAGGAACATACCCTGCCGTGGACGATGATAGTAGAGGGCGTCCACTCAGTCACTCGAGACCCGCACGCTTGCCATTTTTTTCCATCAAATAGCCCTGACGGACAAGGCCAAATGGTCAGCGGGGCCAGTGATGGAGGATGGAATATGTCGTCACTTACTTCAATGTTGAAGGCTACCGAGAGGACGACGTCGTCGGGAAGATATTGAAGCGAGTGGAAGCCCGCCTCGTAAAGGGCATCTTCATCTGAAGCCAGCGGGTCTGCGCTGGGCCTACGGACGACGACTCTAGGCCAAGGGCGACGACGGTGCGCCGTGCCGTCGAGGATGAGAGGCACGATGGGCTCCTCGAGGTCGGAGTGCGGGGGGAAGGTTTCACCAGTGTACTGGAGATCGGAAGTGGTCAGTACGAGTACTGCGTTACGGGAACTTGTACAAGCCACGCATCATAATGGATCAATATCATCGCAAGTATATGGACACTAAAAATAGGAAAATGGAAGGGGAGGGCGGCCGATCATCATATACACTCATTCACTAATCAGAGCCTTGTCACTACAAACTCTTTGTCTCCACAGGATCCGTATGAAGGGTATCTACTCGTCATCATCTGAGACCATATCAATATAAGCGGGCTTCTTGGCTGCACCCCTTCCAGGGCGCGCAGTAGTCTTGGGTGCAGGAGGCGCGTCTTCGGCGTCACTACAAGTGTTGTGCGTCAGCGATTTTCGGACTTTGAGAGAACCTTGCAACACACGAGTCGGCCACAAACGGATCCTCTTCATCCGAATCGATGAGCTTCTTCTTTCCCTTGGTTTTTGGCGCAGCCGCCTTCTTTGCAACAGTCTTTGCTTTAGGTTTAGGCTTAACAGGAGAAGACATGTCGAAATCGTCGTCGTCGTCAGACTCTGCGATGACAGACTTCTTGGCAGTGGGCTTGACCCGTGCCTTCGGGGCGGGCGTCGCCTCGTCGTCGGACAACAGTATCTTCTTCACTGCTGGCTTCAACTTCTTTGCGGCCGGTTTCGATTTGGGCTTGGGCGAGTCGGGCTCGACAATTGAGTCGGCAGACTCATCAACGGCAGCAGCTTTTGTTTTATTCGCTGCTGGTTTGGTGTTTGCTTTGGGTGGGGGTATGACGTCGGCGTCCGAGCCATCATCACCGTCTACGAGTTTCGACAAAGTGGTCTGCTTCAAAGCGGGTTTTGCCGCTGCCTTGGGCTTTGCTTTGGGTTTCGGCAAGACCTCAGCTTCAGACTCTTCATCAATGTCTCTCAAGGGGGTACCGGCTTTGACAATCGTGGGTTTGGCTGAAGCGGCTTTGGGCTTGGGAGCAGCTCGTGGTTTGGTGACTTTTTTAGTAGGCTTGAAGTCTTCCTCTGAGTCCGAGTCATCGCCAGTAGCCTTCATCTTGCGCTTGAGCGCTGCCGCAATTGCAACCTTGTTTTTGGGCTTCCCAGACTTGACAGCCGCAATATCCTCTTGAAGGGCAATCTGGAGATGGGTATATCAGCGGCATGGTCAATATTTTCAAGATGTGCGATTCACCTCCCATTCACCCATAAAGTTGTCAAGGTCAACATTCCAGATATCCTGAGGAGTCAATTTGAGGAGCTCATGGAGCTCATGCTCCTTGAGATCTCTTTGGCGGTTCAGTTTCTCGATCTATAAAGCCCATCAGCGAAGGTGTGCAAACCAGCAACAAAGGACTGACATCTTCCTCAGACAGACTCCACAGCTTCATTCCCAACAGGTAATCATAATCACTCGCCAAACCCTCCTGTTCGTCTTCGTCATCTTGTCCAACAGGGTCATCAGCACCCTTGACCTTGTCCTTCTTGGGGAAAGGCTTGAAGTTCTCTTCGCGAAGCTCTGCAACGAGCTGGGCCTTCCGCTTCTTGCTGACAACGAATTTGTCTTCAACAACCATGGATATGAAGCGAGCCTGGTTGGCGAGCTTGTCGAGCTGTTTTGTGAGCTCGTCCGCGAGGTATTGCTAGGCAAATATCAGTACATGAAGCAAGGACTGGCGGCCACAGACTTACTTTGCGAAGACCGTAGAACTCCAATCGCTTGAAGTAAAATTCTTCCAATATTTGCTCAGGGCTCGAGTACTTCTTGATCTTGCCGTTCAGGTCAAAGCAAACCATGTTACCAGTGCTGAGGGTGGTAGTCAACTTGAACCGCTTGTCAAGCCCTTCTTTCTCCGCTTCCGCAAGGTTCTTTTCGGTCATGTGTATCTTGAAATGGACAGTGTTGACTGTGTGATGTTCCTCGTAATCCTTCGCAGTTTTAATATATGTTCAGAGACAGAAAAGACATCATCACTCACTTGGACTGATTTGGGAACTTTCTCAGAGCCAACTGTCATCTCTTCAAGCATTTCTTTGAAGTCTTGAGTCCATTTGCGGATAGGCAATTCAGTGATTTCGAGGGTAATGTCGTCGATCTTTTCAACGGTGCCGCTGACCTTATACTTGTCTTGATCGACCCGCTCAATTGTACCCTACGTTGTGTGAGCTTGGCGTACTCCGGTCAAAGCAATGGTCACACCTTGTAGCCTCTGAACCAGGGCGTCATATTCTCGAGCTCCTCGTTCTTCATCAGCCTCCTGATGTTGTTGACGATATCAACCGGATTGTAATTGGGGATGGCAGTACTCCAACCTAAGGACCATCAATATGATTAGCCGCACGGACGAACGAGTCACAAGATATTCACTGACCTGTTCCGATACCATCGGCGCCATTGATCAGCACCATGGGCACTGTGGGCAAAAAGTAGTCCGGCTCTATACCCATACCATCTTCGACAAGATAGTTGAGAAGGCCATCGTCAGCAGGATGGAACACAGCCCTAGTCATCCGCGGAAGGTTGGTAAAGATATATCGCGCACTGGCAGAATCTTTACCACCAGACAATCGCGTACCAAATTGGCCGTTGGGCGCAAGGAGGTTGACGTTGTTGCTGCCGACGTAATTCTGCGCTAGACCGACAATGGTAGAAGTCAGACTCTGTTCACCGTGGTGATAGGCGGTCTTCTCCGATACGTAACCAGCAAGCTGGGCGACCTTGATCTCCTTGACGAGGTTACGTTTGAAACAGCCAAACAGGACCTTTCGTTGACCGGGTTTGAGACCGTCCGCGACGGACGGTATAGATCGGATGTTATCAGCCATGGAGAAGAGAATGAGCTCTCGGTTGACGAAATCGGAGATCGGCAGAGACTTGACCGCGTGGTCAAGATACGTTCCCGGCTAAAATTGATGAGACTCGCCTGAATGCACCAAAGCTAATACTCACCTTGAATTGGCGAAGCCATTCCTTTCGATCATCCGCCTTTTTCTTGTTGAACGCCATATCGATGAGAAGCCTATCGTTTGGTTCCATAGCTTCGAACGGTAACCTGTGCTTGTCCAATGCGCTGAAATATTTCCTAGCGTCCGCATCCGTACTAGTCCCTAAACCCTTGTAGTACTTGGAGTCCCAACCGCGGCCATCGTTGTTCTCTTCCTTCCACTCTTCGTATTGGGGCATGGTGTAGAAGCTGATTTCTTGCTTGCCCTTCCATACCTTGACGATGGGGGTGATGAACTCGACAAGGAATTCGGGAATACGCAGAAGGGAGGGATAGAAGTGGTCCAAAAAGTTGATGATAAGACCCTTGATATGCGAGCCATCATGATCCTGTGGACGATCTGCGTTAGCGAAGCGGTTTCATCGGGAACATTGACTCACCTGATCAGTCATGATCATCAAATGTCCGTAACGCAAGCTATCGACGGATTTATATTCCTGGTTGTGCTTGAGACCAAGAATCTGCCTGATATGCTGGATCTCGGTGTTTTTGACGATCTGGTCGTGACCCGCTTCGCGGACGTTGAGGAGTTTTCCTCGAAGGGGAAAGACGCCATAATGGTCACGTCCGACCACCGCAAGACCAGACACCGCCAGGGCTTTGGCGGAGTCTCCTTCTGTCAAGATCAAAGTGCACAACTTTGAATTCTTTCCACCAGCATTGTTGGCATCTTCAAGTTTCACGATACCGGAGATACTATTTCAAGATCAGTCCGGCAACTGAAATAGCTTCACTCAGACTGACCGCGATCGCTTGGAGCCGTCGGTCTTTTTCATGATTTGATCTTGCTTGAACTTGGCCCAGTTGAGGACATTGTCGATGATTCCCGTCTTGGCGACTGCAATCGTTTGAGCGTTGAAGAGACAGGGGATTTCTTATGCTCACCTTTCTTGACAAAGTCCTCTGAAAGCTCGCATCTACTGCCGAAAGCAGACGACTTGAGTGTCAAGTTTTCCTTGGTCTGCGAGTCGAAGGCAGGGTTCTCAACAGCAGCATTGACGAAAATCCACATATGGTTTTTGATCTGAAAAGGCTTGACAGGAGCAGCCGTGTTTTTCTTCTTGATCTGGTCCATGCTGAAAGTGTGATGAGCAGAGACCTAGTGTCAACAGAGTCAGCCACTTACAGTTTGTTGGCAAGCTGAGTAGCAATCATGTCGACGTGAGTACCACCCTTGGTGGTGGCAATCGAGTTGACGAAAGATACTTGCTTGAACTCTCCTTCGGAAAGTGCGAATGCGACTTCCCATCGCTTGTGGGCTACTTCATAGATGAGAGGGGGTTTGCTGATTGCCGCGCCGCCAGCAGCATCAGAAGCAGCGTTGGTAGAAGCGTTGAGATACATCTCGACATACTGTGGACTCCCGTCAGTCATGAGAGTGAGGAGGAGACGCACGGCGTACCTGCTTGAAGTTCTTGACTTTGACGCGTTCACCGTTGAGTGTGACCTTTAGGTCTTTGATAGTGCCCGCCATATCATAGACTCGCTTCATCAGGAGGGCAGTCGTGTCATCGTCAATGTTGGCCATGTTGAAACGTTCGAGGTCAGGTTTGAAGGTGATTTTGGTCCACTCTTCATCCTTCTTGTTTTCAGCGATTTTGGGTGGCTTTTTGGTGCCCATGTTGTTGGTGAAGATTTGTTTGTATTTCTTGCTGTTGCTCTTGTCCGCAGTTTCAACGACTGATAGCATCGTCAGCCAAGAAGCATAAAACAGCCGTAGAACGTACTGAATTCGTGAGAATAGATGTTGGTCAGTTTGGCTCCGTAACCATTCCGACCACCAGTCAGCTTTTTCTGGTCGTCATCGAAATTGCTACCAGCAAGCCTGTAGTATCCATGAGCCATAGAATCAGGAGAACAAGGGACAGAAGATACGCACAAATGTCCAAAAATCAATTCTGGGATCATGACATTCTCTTTGGTGTGCATCTCGACTGGGATACCTCTACCATTGTTGTAGACGGAGATGATGTTCTTCTCACGGTCAATCTCGACTTTGATGGTGTCCATACTGGGGTCATTGATCTAGAATCAACGTCAACATTCATTTTTATGGTACCGTCCAGTCGGCATCGCGTACTTTGTTATCAGCAGCGTTCACCAAGATCTCATCAAAGATCTTGAGAAAACCAGGGACAAAGGTGATATTCCTGTGGACCATGGTCTTTGATGCCGGTTCAAGGACCCACATCGGCTGAGTGATAGCCTCGACGGAGCCAATGTAAGTATCGGGGCGCTTGAGCACATGGTCTCGTTGAGAAAGCTGCGTTCATAATGAGCGAATTCTTTGAGTGTTAATCAGATGTGATGGTCAAACCTTCTGATATATCTCACTGGCGTTCTTTGCATTCGCAGGTGCTTTCGAGCTGGAACCTCCAAAATCTTCATCGTCGGACACCTTATTGCCCTTGGGCTTCTTCTTCGGTGGGGACTCGTCGATGTCAGAGCCATTATCAGAGAGCGAGTCGTTGGAGTGCTTCTTGGAAGCTAGAGGTGCTTTGGCGGGTTTCTTGGCGGGCGCAGCCTTCTTTATTGATGCGCTTGAGGGTAAGCACTCCACAATAAAGTCGGAAGGATGTCTCACCTTTGCCGCTGCGGCTTTCTTGACTGGAGCTTTTTTGGCAGGAGCCGCCTTCTTGGCTGCTGGAGACTTCTTGCCTTTGGAAGAAGATGCACCGAAGTCAGACCCGCTAGCGTCGTCGTCTCCACTCAGAGCAAAGTTGTCACTGTCGCTGTCTGACATGACGAGAGCAGTGGGATGTGAGTGGAAGACGAAAGTGAATGGGCGACGCGACTTGGATCGCGTGTTTACGCGCCGCTCTCGTGCAGTGGTGGCCCCCCACTTAGCAGGCACGTCGGGGCGGCGGTGGAGGTCGGAGGATGTCAGTGTATAGGACTGAGGCAGTTGTGGCAGTTGTGGCAGTTGTGGCAGTCATTCCGTAGAAAAGCACAGCACTCCACCCAGCACCCCACGCCATGTCCAGGCAGCCGGACCCCTTCGACGACCTCCTTGGCTCCCCCCCGCTCCCCACCTCCGCAGCTCACCACGACCCCTTCGAAGACGACCATACCCCCGACCTCTTCAGCCCGAACACAGCAGCCTCGCATCGCAAAGTTCCCACATCCTCCACCTCAGCCCAGCCGTACGCACTAGACCCATTCTTCGACGAGTGAGTTTTGCTTTCATCGTGCATGTCCGCATGTCTAATTGTTATAGCGACGATGAATACCCGCCACATCCCCAGCCTGGATATGCGTCCTCTGGCTACCTGGGACCCTCTACCTCTACTGTGAACGTACCCAAATCGTCATACGGCCACTCGGATGCGTCGATGGTGCCCTTCGCGGACAGCGGTGTAGCCCCGGCAGGCTTTGCAGGTCCGGCTTCGGCAAGATCATATGGCGATGACCCATTTGGAGATGATGAAGGGCCTTCAGCATATGCCTTTACTGCCCCAGGTGCAGCCGCGGTCTCAAACTGGGCTCGACCGCGGCGGTCGAGATGGCAAAAGTTCAGGGACGACTACTTGACAGATGTCGATTGGACTATGGGTCTTAATCAGTTATTGAGAAGGAAGAGCAAGTTCGATGGGATGCCGAGGGAGATAGCTTTGAATGATCCTGAAGGTAACAGAGTGAAGGGCTTTGAGAACAATTCAGTCACAACAGGCAAATATGGCCCAATAACATTCTTGCCGAAATTCTTGTTCTGTAAGTGTCCTCCTGTGGTTTTTGATTACGTTGATGCTCATGTTCTTCAAGCCGAGTTTTCACGTTCAGCCAACCTGTTTTTCCTTTTCACAGGTGTGCTCTTCTCCGTCTTCACATACACACTCTTCTGACTCATGAACAGCTTGTATCCAGCAAGTACCCGACGTCTCTCCCACGGGCCACTACACCACAATTGTCCCTCTCGCAGTGGTCATCATAGCAAGTGCTTTCAAAGAAATCAAGGAGGACTTTGTGCGCTCTCTTAGGCATTGATAGGGGGACACTGCTGATTATTTGTCAGAAACGCCACGCCTCAGATCGCTCCCTCAACTACAGTACCACGCAAGTGCTCGTCGATGGCCAATTCCAGAATCGACCATGGCGCAAGATCAGAGTCGGGGACATTGTCAGATTGGAAGCCAACGGCTTCATTCCTGCCGATGTGTTACTGATCAGCAGCAGTGAGCCGGAGGGGCTTTGTTATATTGAGACCGCCAATCTGGACGGGTGAGTTTCCCAATGACGAGGTCGAGCTGCGCAAATTGACCACACCCAGTGAAACCAATTTGAAGATCAAGCAGGCTCAGCCTTCGACAGCGTCTCTCACCAATCCCCAATCCGTTTCATTGCTCCGCGGGCATCTATTGTCCGAAGCTCCCAACTCGTCTCTCTACACATACGACGGCACATTCCATCTCTCTTCCTCCCACCCCGGCGCAGCTCCGACAAAGATCCCTGTCGGACCAAATCAGTTGTTGCTGCGAGGTGCCCAACTCAGGAACACGGAATGGGTTTACGGGGTTGTTGTCAATGCTGGACACGAGACAAAGCTTATGAGGAATGCTACGTGAGTGACTTTCTTTGTTTGGGCCGACATCCCGCTGACGAAAATGCAGCGATGCACCAATCAAGCGAACATCTGTTGAACGCCAAGTCAACCGCCAAATCCTCCTCCTCTTTGTCCTCCTTCTCATTCTATCACTTGTTTCGACCATCGGGAGTAGCTTGAGAACTTGGATTTGGGATACAAACTCTTGGTATCTGCGACTTGGCGATGAGAACAAAAATAAAGGTCAGTTCAAGTGGTCCTAAACGCGCCTGGCTGACAGAATTTGTAGCTCGTCAATTCATCGAGGATTTTTTGACCTTCATCATTCTCTATAACAACTTGATTCCTATCTCGCATGTGTATCTCTGTTCTAGTGTTGTCGTTGGCTGACTCAAGCATAGTTTGATCATGACCATGGAAGTTGTCAAATTTCAACAAGCATCACTGATCAATTCTGACCTGGATATGTATCACGCCCCGACCGACACTCCTGCCCTCTGCCGAACATCCTCTCTCGTTGAAGAACTTGGTCAAATTGCATACATATTCTCCGACAAAACGGGCACTTTAACGAGGAACGAGATGGAATTCAGAGAGTGCAGTGTCTTTGGTACTATGTATGCGCAGGTGGTGGACGATGCGAAAAGGGACCAGGGTCAGAAGAATTTCGATGTGTTGAGGGAAAGGGCCGAGGAGGATTCGGAGGAAGGGGAGACGCTTCGACAATTGCAAGTCTCAAAGCTCCAGACGAACTCACGAGCTGATTAGACCCACAGTCTTCTGTTGCTCTCAATCTGTCACACGGTCATTCCGGAAGAACGACATGGTGCGATGATTTATCAAGCTTCCAGCCCCGACGAGGCTGCTTTGGTCTCTGGGGCAGAAATGCTGGGTTACCGCTTCCACGTAAGCCTGCGACACCAACGTCTGATGACCAGCTAAACAAACATTAGACTCGCAAACCCAAATCGGTGTTTGTCGACGTCAATGGCAGCTCGGAAGAGTGGGAGATCCTCAATATCTGTGAATTCAATTCTTCTCGAAAGCGAATGTCTACAGTCGTACGCGGACCGGATGGTAGAATCAAGCTGTACACCAAAGGCGCAGACACCGTTGTCTACGAGAGATTAGCACCAAAACAGGAATTTTCTGAACCTACGCTGGTACACCTTGAGGTAAGCATTCATAACAGGACTTGAACGCCTCTAATGATCATTAATCAGGACTATGCCACTGAAGGTCTCCGAACACTCTGTCTTGCTTACAGAGACATATCAGACGAAGAATACGCTCAGTGGGTGCAGATGTATGACACCGCTGCATCTCAGCTTTCGGGCCGAGCCGATGCGCTTGACCGAGTTGCAGAGGTCATCGAACAGAATCTTCAGCTATTGGGTGCCACAGCCATCGAGGACAAGCTGCAAGAAGGTGTCCCGGACACGATCCATACTCTTCAGCAAGCCGGTATCAAGGTCCGTATATGTCTTCCTCGGATCAACAATGACTGACAACCCCAAAGGTCTGGGTTCTCACTGGTGACAGGCAAGAAACAGCCATCAACATTGGCCTTTCATGCCGCTTGATCTCGGAATCCATGAATCTTGTGAGTCGATTTTCAACCAGGCATTGACGACTCGCTAACAACGTCAGGTCATTATCAATACCGATACAGCGGCGGAGACCTCGGAGCTTCTGAATAAACGCCTCTTCGCTATAAAAAACCAGCGAATGGGTGGTGATACAGAAGAGCTGGCTTTAATCATCGGTAGAGTCACATACATTCAGCGAGCGTTCTCTCATGCTGACGGCCCCTTGTAGATGGTAAAAGTCTTACTTACGCTTTGGAGAAAGAATGCTCTGAAGTCTTTCTGGAACTCGCCATTATGTGCAAAGTAAGTCATAATCATATATCTCCGGACATTCCATTAATGGACCCCTCTTAGGCTGTCGTCTGCTGTGCGCACTTTCACCAAAAGACTCGTTCTATCCGCTGATTCAGATTTAGGTCGGGTATCGCCCTTGCAGAAAGCTTTGGTTGTCAAACTTGTAAAGCGAAGTACAGACGCACCCCTTCTGGCCATAGGCGACGGTGCCAACGATGTCAGCATGATCCAGGCCGCTCACGTCGGTGTCGGCATCTCGGGCGTTGAGGTGGGCCGTTCCTCGATTGTATTCGGGGCTGCGTGACTGACAAAGATTAAGGGTCTGCAAGCTGCTCGGTCGGCCGATGTTGCCATCTCGCAATTCAGGTTCTTGCGGAAATTGCTGCTTGTACACGGGTCATGGAGTTATCAAAGGCTGAGCAAGCTCATTCTCTGTGAGCTCAAAAACGATTGGTCTGTGATCCGTTGCTGACTCGTGCCTCCAAAGTTTCGTTCTACAAAAATATAACGTTCGCCTTGACTCTCTTCTGGGTATGTCCATTAGCGGTACCCATGCTGGAACGTGCTGACATGTCTCTAGTATTCTTGGTTCAACGATTTCTCGGGTCAAATTGCATTCGAGGGATGGTCAATGTCCTACTACAACGTGATCTTCACTATTCTCCCCCCTCTTGTAATTGGAATATTTGACCAATTCGTATCTGCTCGGATGCTTGATCGGTACCCTCAATTGTACCAGCTTGGACAGCAAAACTATTTCTTTGCTCCCATCACATTCTTCTACTGGGTTGGAAACGCGTTCTATCACAGTGTAGTAAGTGGCCAGCATCGGTGTGACAACTGTGGTTAACAAAGCGGCATAGGTCCTGTTCGCGTTTTCTGTCTTGGTGTTCCGCAACGATCTGCTAGCTACGGACGGAAGGAACTCTGGCTTATGGGTTTGGGGGACCACTCTGTATTTGGCTGTCTTGTTGACCGTTCTGGGAAAAGCTGCACTGATATCCGAGTAAGTGGGCTGGACGGGGAGAGCAAAAGTCGGAGTCTGCGAGCTGATCACGAGAAATTGCAGCGTATGGACAAAGTACACCCTCGCCGGTAGGTCTCACGAAGCTGACTGCTGAATAAGTGTTGACTCCATCCCAGCCATTCCCGGATCCTTCATCTTTACCATGGTCGCGCTGCCCATATATGCCATAGTCGCGCCTTTGCTGAACTTTTCCCTCGAATTCACGGGCATTGTCCCCCGTCTTTGGGCAGATCCGATATTCTACTTTGTCCTGTTCTTGTTTCCCATCATATGCCTGCTGCGAGACTATGTCTGGAAGTAGTAGGTCGATCACGTATCATCAGCTGGTACATGAACTCACAAACATCAGCTACAAACGTACTTATCACCCGGAGTCATATCATATTGTCCAAGAGATTCAAAAGTTTAGCCTCGCTGATTACCGGCCGCGCCAAGAACAGTACGTATTGGGCCTCTTCCATGGCATCTGGTATGACTGACACAAACCCCCAGGTTCCAAAAAGCCATAAAAAAGGTGCGAGCAACACAACGTATGCGCCGCCAGCGAGGCTTCGCCTTCTCCCAGACCGAAACTAGCAATCAAGACCAAACAAGATTGATTCGGGCCTATGACACTTCTGTAGCAAGGCCGTCCGGATACTAAGCCTAGGACCTACGGTTCGTTACGAGCAGTCTGCAGTGTGGGGTGAAATGCATTGCATGTACTGGTACGCTATCAAACATATTATAAATGGTGCTATGCTGTTGGATAAAGCATTTCCGGTACATCACAGGGCAAACCGTTGGACTGGAACCACATCAGAGATTGTTCCCATTGCTGTCGATCTACTCACGTCGATATCGAAAGCAGCGTACGGCACTGTTTTGCTTAATCCGGACATTGAGGCATATACATACCGTATCTCGTCACTGACACCTCCACGAAACACGACCAATCGCAGCGCTTTTGATGTAGCCCACGAATCACCTGCGAAGCGGCATGAGCACGTAAGCGCCCAGTCCACAAACAAGACTGACTCAGCTGAGGCATGAGAATGGCTCGATCGCCCGTATCGAAATTCGCGGGCTTGTTCTCGGCATTTAAGAGCTTTGTCGCGAGTTGATTACATACTATCACCTGTAGATTTCTGTCAGCTGCGTTGCAAATGCTTAGGCTATCACTTACTGCGCAGTGATGCACCATAGCAGCTTTGCTTATAATTGTTTTCGATCTGTTATTCATCAGTTCGCCACCTCCTGACGAGCAATCAGCACTTGCAGTTCCATGGCCCGACGTTTCGCAGCGATGTCCAGACTGAGCTGTCTGAAGTGGAAGCTCAGGGTATCTATGATGACAAGATTGACCTAAAGCGGACTGAGATCGGTTCGTCAGAGAGAGCACTGAGGACTCACCTTCGGATGTGATTCCAACCATTCGTCCAGGGTATGCAAAAGCGCCAACATCTCATGTTGCGTGGATACCCGCAATAGATGGATCCCTTGCAACACGTCATGTGGTAGTCCTGGATAGCTTCAGCAAGACTCTACGCCTGCGCATGCTACATACGCTTGTCCCCTTCTACAACGGCCCGGGCGGCCTCGTACAGCCTCTCTGTAGTCATGGCGCCCTCCGTATCTGACTGATGTTTAGTGTTATCCCGCGACCGATCGCGAGCCGCCTTACCTATGATCAAAACTTCCCCAAATTCCGAGTGCGCTTTTCCTTCCGGGTGACCGTTCAGTTCCCTCTCTTTCTGGCCAGATTCGCGGGCACTCAGTGACACCGCCAGAGCAATGGCAGATTTACCTCCTCCAGGTGGTCCCGATATCTCAACCACCATTCCAGGAACTATTGAGCCTGTGTGCAACCTCTCTTTGCCTTTACGAGAAGACCCCGCTTCCGAGGAAATTGAAAGGCTAAATTTTCCGATCAGACCATCGAGAGAAGCAGAAAATGTGGAAAAATGAGGATGGGTAGCGGTTGACAAAAGATCGGCAGCGGTTGCGGAGTGGATTTGGGCTTGCGATGTCTGGGAGGTCATACCCCCTATTCCACCATGTGTAGTCCGACCTATATCAAGTGTCTCAAATTGGCGATGGTCTTGGATGTATCTTTCATTGTCGGCTTACCTTGCCATTCCTCTGCCTGTTGCAGTGTGAATCTTGCTTCGGACGTCGATATTGCTAGCTCTTGACTTGGGTTGTCAGCGTTGTTGTCGAAAGAGTCATTATTGTGGCGCACCGACAGACAAGTCTTCGGCCGACATGAGTTCGATATCCCGCGTTGTGCGATAGCCTGCTTCTTCCAAAGCAACCTTGACAGACCGCCTGGGGGTGGAATCAGCCGCTCACTTACACAAATGTGGATGGAGCTCACGATATGGGAAGTGCTGAGAGACTGTATTCAGGGGGGGAATACTGAGGCTGCGTGGACATGGCTGGGTGCGCGGGTGAAGAAGAAGAGACAGATACATATGACAGGAGTTTGACAAGTAAAACGCGTCGCGTCTCATGGCTGATTGGTGCCACAACGGGATCAAATCGTTCCTGTGGTGGACGAGGCCGCGCGAGCGTGTCCTCTTGCTTCAGGTGGCTTCAGTTGGGCTTCAGTGTCGTCAGTGCCACTTTTCTTCCCCTCCCCATCGTAAACACCCATCTGCCCACCATGGTACGCCCGAGTAGACCAGCGAGAGCATCGCTGACCAACCGCTGCAGTCTGTAATGGAATTGAACGGTGGCTCCGTCGTGGCCATGATTGGCAAAGACTGTGTCGCTATCGCCTCCGACTTGCGGCTCGGAAATCAACAGGTGGGTATCGCCTCCAACTTTGACAAAGTGTCTCCCGTAAACGACAAGCTCTACTACGGCATCCCCGGTCTTGCGTCCGATGTCTACACGTTGTGAGTCGGGCGAACTGTTGCACGTCAAGTACTGCTTATGACTGTTCTCGCAGACGCGAACACATGCGCTTTCGAGTCAACATGTACCGAATGAAGGAGGAGAGGGAAATAACACCCAAAACCTTCACCCACCTCCTTTCCAGCACCTTGTACGAGAAACGCTTTGGACCATTCTTCATCGAGCCGGTTGTCGCCGGTCTGCCCTCACCTACTCCTTTGGAGCCTAACCCCAAGCCTTACATTTCTACCATGGACACGTGAGTCCAATGATCATCATACAAAGGCTACGGCTGATGTGTAATCATAGCATTGGTTGTATCACTACACCAAAGGACTTTGCTGTTGCGGGGACCGCTGCGGACAAACTGTATGGTATTGCTGAAGGTCTTTGGGAGCCTGATCTCGTAAGTTTCTGCCTTGTAATCGTAATGCGAGTAGCTCGCTAAGTGCGTACAATATCAGGAGCCTGAGGACTTGTTTGAGACCATCTCTCAGGCGTTGTTGAGCTCTGTGGACCGAGACGCGCTCAGTGGTTGGGGAGCGGTGGTCAACATCATGTGAGTGCAGACGTTATTCGGCGTGGGCTACACTGATATTATGTCTGCAGAACACATGATCAGGTTATTACTCGTACTCTCAGGGCTAGGATGGACTGATGTGGGAATGAGGACAGTTGGACGGCAAAGGTTCAGCCTACATGTATAACGTCCAAACTACCATGTATATTGCGTCGACGTTCACGCAGCAGGGATACCATCCTATGGTTGAACAATGGCCCAGTATCTAGAAGACAGGTACATGTGGCGGATAGAGCAGCGAGCGGCGGTCGCCGCGAGTTCCTGATGTAATATTTCGCGTGAATTTCGTTGTCCTCCAGTTTTTGTGTTTATCGAAAAAAGGCATACGATGGCGCCGATGACCCCTGCCAGGCCCGCGCCCGCCGCTGGGCAAGCCCCCCGCGCCCCGTTCCCCCCGCAGCCGTTCCCGCCCGTCCCGTACCAGCAGGGCTTCTTCCCCGCCTACCCGTACGACCAGGCCTACCCCATGCCCCCGCAGCAGTGGGCGCCCCAGCACCACCCCCAGGCCCAGTATCCCCAGTACAACCCCCGCCCCGTCCCCTACGCCGCCACTGCCCCCGGCACACCCGTCCAGGCAGTCCGACCAACCGGCCACCAGCCCGCCAGCTCCACCTCGTCCCAGTCCTCTATCCCCTCCACCCCGATCCGATCCCCCCCCTCCTTCACTCCCCTCTCGGGCGGAAGCTCGAGCTTTACTCCCGGAGGCTCCTTTAACACTCCCAGGCGGTCGGCGGCCATCAAAATATCTAGACCCGACGGCTCAGCTTTGAACCTCATGGAAGAAGCCCTCAAGTCTTCCTCCGTCAAGGGACCTTCTGCCTCCAACTCCAATGCCTCCACCCCTGCTTCGCCCTCCACCCCTGCCCCTGAGGTCAAGGAGGCCCCCAAGAAGCCTGCGTTCTCCTTGCCGGTCGTGGTCAAAATTGAAAAGCCTGAAGATCAGAAGGAGCGACTGAAGGAGGAAGCCTTGAAGGCCCAAGAGGCGAAGGAGGAGCAGGAAAGGAAGGAAAGGCGCGAAAAGCAGGCCAAGGAGGATGCCGACAAAAAGGCCAACGATGAAAAAGAGCAAAAGGCGAAGGAGGAGGCGGAAAAGAAGGCCAAGGAGGACGAGGAAAAGAACGCCCAGGATGTTTCACAGCAGGCAAGTTTATTTATTCCCTTGTAGATTCTTCCAAGCTTACCCATGACAGGCCGAGGCCTCTACGCCTGCACCCGGTTCTGGTCTTCCACCCAAGCCAGTCGCTGCTGTCAACGAGCTTAAAAACGCCGATTCCGCACCTGAATCTCCTACTCCCAGCGAGCCTTCCACTTCTTCATATCCGCTCAACTCTGCGCAACCTATCGACGACATTCATTCCATCAACTACCCTGGCTCGCTCAAATCGCCCAACGCTGAATTGAATGTTTCAGCCGAGCCTGGAAAATTCCGATACGACCGCGAGTTTTTGATACAGTTCATGGGTGTGTGCAAGGAGAAGCCTGAGAGTTTGCCCAACTTGAAGGAGATCGGACTCGAAGCCGACGGCTCCAGTGGATTCGGTAGTCGATACGGTGGCAGGTCTTCAGGATCTGGCTTCAGCCGTGGATCTGGATCTACAGGCCTCGGTATCAATGGTATCAACAAACCCTCTATGGGATCTGGCGGCTTTGGTAACTTCTCTTCCGGCCCCAGCTCTATTCGAAACACGACAAGTGAGCAGCGATACCGCGCTAGCATGCAGGGTCGATCGCCCAGCCAGGGCGGCCCCGGTGGCATCGGAGGTCTGCCTGCTATGGGTATGTCTAGCTCTCGAGGTGGTGTCAGTCGCGGTAGTCAGCGAGGAAGCAAGCGTGCTCCTCAGCAGCCTGCTGCTCCTCCTGCCCCTGCTATGCCCATTTCCGAGAACGCTTGGACCCGAACACGACTTGGTGGCAACGACGAAAGCTCTCCTGTCTACATTGAGAGGAAGGTGAAGGCTCTTCTTAACAAGCTTACCGAGGAGAAATTCGACCCCATTTCCAAACAGATTCTTGAATGGGCAAACAAGTCTGCCAACGAAGAGAATGGGATGACAGTCAAGCTCGTCATCAAGTTGATTTTCGAGAAGGCTACCGACGAGGCTCATTGGTCGCAGATGTACGCCAAACTCTGTGTACTTCTCCATGATCAACTGGACCCCGCCGTGGCTGAGACCATCGACAACAAACCATACTCTGGCAGGTCCTTGTTCCGACGATACCTTTTGGGGCGATGCCAGCAGGACTTTGAGAGTGGGTGGAAGGCGCGAGAGGATACCGCGAATGCTGCGGCTGCGAAAGAGAGAGAAGATGGAGAGAAGATGGCCGAAAAGGAAAAGGCGGAGAGCAGTGAGGACAAAGAAGCTGTTTTGATGAGTGACGAGTACTACGCGGCTCAAAAGGCCAAGCGTCGAGGTCTTGGTTTGGTACAGTTGATCGGAGAATTGTTCAAGCGGGAAATATTGTCTAGTCGTGTCATTAACGGGTGCCTGTCCAAGTTGTTAAGCAACTTGACAAGCCCCGACGAGGAGGATCTGGAATCTGCCTGCAAGCTTCTCACCACTGTTGGTGAAAAATACAGCTTGGTTGCTCCTGATCAACTCAACGGCGCATTGGGTGTTCTCAGTGAGATTCAGAAGATTGAGGGACTTCCTTCTCGTATTCAATTCATGATTTTGGTAGGTTCTTGCAGTACGCACTAGAGTCTAGCACTGACATCATCGCAGGACATACATGATCTTCGAAAGGATGGTTGGAAGTCCAATAAGAACCAAACTAGTGTCATGACTATTGCCGAAATCCACAAGAAGGCCGCCCAGGAAAAATCCGCTGCTGCTTCCAAGGAGTCCATCTCACGTGGTGGTTCCCGATCTGGTGGTAGGCGTGACCAGCAGCAACCAGGAGAATGGCAGTCCGTCTCCGCGCCACGAATGGTCAGCCGCCCTGCGGACTTCCATAATCTTGGCCGCAATATGACCACCGCTGGTACTTCTCCCAGCTTCGGTGGCCCTAGCTCTGTCTTCTCCAAGAAGGGCGGCAGGTCTGGTGTCGCTACTCCCCCCACACCCACTTTGTCCCGACCCTCCTCATCAGCCAACATGTTCAGTGCTCTCACCGATGAAAATCACGAAGCCGCTGCCGAAAGGAGAGAAAGTGCCGATGCCGGTGAGTACACACAGCGAAAGAAGCTTTCCCTTGCTCCTCGCACGAAGCCTCTTCCCGGAGACGGCGAGGAGGATGCCCAGGATGACGAGGGCTCAGCGGATGAGGGAGAGGCGGAGACGGAGGCGGAGGGGCTTGATGAGGCTGGTGCCAAAGCCAAGATCGATCTCGATATGAAAGAGCTGTGGGGTGAGAAGGATATGGGAGGTTCTAGAAATCCTCAGGATGTTGTCGAGTACTTCAAGTCACTGCCTGAGGCCCATCGCCCGCTTCTCGCCAAGAGACTGCTTGATGATGTCTTCAGGCTTGCTAAGCCCAAGGATGCGGAAGTGGTTGCAAAGAGTTGGAAGGCGGCTGTGGAAGCCCAGGCTGTTGGTGTCCAGACTTTGACATCGACGTGAGCAACTCTGGTACTCCTGAATAATTATATACTGACGTCTTCATAGCCTGGAGGAGCGAATGTCCGGTCTTGATGATGAGTCAGTCGACTTCCCTGGTGCCTACACTGCTGTGGCCCAGCTTGTGCGGAGTGTGGCGTTATCGGCTGAGGAGATAGATGTTCTTGTCGGCAAGATTGACGTCTGGGGCGAACCTCGAGTGACTCCCAAGCAAAAGATGGAGAAGGCACTGGTCAAGGTTGACGAAGAGGCCTAGACGTTGTTTCGGATCTGTCTTGGGTAAAACTAGGGCCTGTACCAGTCGCAGTCAATTCCATCATCTCTATTAGCATCATAGATATATTTTCTTGGCACATTGGTATATGTATTGTAATGCTCAACGATACTGTGCCCTGGATATCGGCGAGTCTTGTCAAAATAATCCACTGGACTGGAGTGCCCACCATCACACCTTAGCCTGTAAGGTTATATAAGTACGCTACGAGTGCTGCACGAGTACTGTAATCCGATACCATGTATCGTATCTACAAAAAAGGCGCCTGGAAGAGAGTTGTCGGCCTTTTGTTTCTACTGACTTTGCATGCTTGTGTTCTATCGTGTTTGCAGGCTGAAATCTCCTCCATTCGCCCACCATCTTTCTACCATTACAGCTCTTGGTCTCTCAAGCAAAGATGCTTGCCAAAGACAAGCACATTCTCGCTAGTCATCCAGATTATTGGTGGTGCTACAACATTGCCAACGCCAACACGGTCCTCGTTCAGAAATCCATAAAGAAGTGATCGTACTGACCAATACCTGCTTTTCCGTAGGCGCTGACATCCGCCTCCTGGTACCGATCGAACCTATTGTAGGGTGAGCAAGGTCTCTCAAGACACGGATAACGACGCTATACTGACTGGCTAGCATCTCCTTCTCCTTCAATCTTGGGCACATAGGGAGCTGGAATTTCTCTTCGGTACAACTTGTCCCAGTCCACTTCCGCAAACCAACTATGCGCAAAGATGTCGGACGATCCAGCCCGCAAGTTACCGTAACGCTTGGTAAGATCACCGACCAGCAGATTCTGCAAGAGCTCTTTGGCCATCATGTCAAAGTACGTTGGATAACGGACCTTTCCAGCTATGATCTGACGGGTATATATTAGCTAACGAAGACGCATTGTCATAGTATGATGTACCTTCTCATAAAGCTTCATGGGGTTGCCATCCTCAGTAAAGAAGGGAGGATACCCAGCCTATACAGAGTTAGTACCGCCAACTAGGCAAAGGTCGTATACGTGCCAGCATTTCAAATATGAGGACACCCAGAGCGTACCAGTCTACGCTCTTGTTGTAACCCTTGGATTGAACGACCTCGGGTGCGACTAGACATGATTAGCGTGTGCACTGCTGTACTTGTCATCGTACATACGATAATCTGGTGTGCCACAAAGGGTCCATGTGATGTCGGGAACATATTTGGCAAAGCCAAAGTCTGTCACCTTGACATGACCGTCGGCGCCCAGCAACAAATTCTCCGGTTTGAGGTCTCGGTAGATGATGTCTAAAGAATGGAGATAGTCTAAAGCCAGCGCAACTTCGGCAGCATAAAACTTTGCTACAGAGTTTGGAAAGCGCTGCGAGGTATCAGCAACTTCCGCGACGCTTGGTCTCTTGGGGTCTCACCTGGCTTTTTCGGAGGAGACTGAAAAGCTCTCCTCCGGCGACAAAGTCCATGACCATGTAAAGGTTGTTGACATCTTGGAATGTGCCCCAAAGATTAACAAGGAAAGGGTGTCGCACCCGAACCAGCATCTCTCGCTCAGAATTGGTGTGCTCGACCTGTTTCATCCTAATGACCTTTTCCTTGTTCAGCACCTTGACGGCGTAAAATCGACCATTGTGCCTCGATCGCACGAGATGAACTCGCCCAAAAGAGCCAGTTCCCAACCTGCGATCGTCAGCTTTGACTCGACATCTGTATCGGGAGTCTACTCACGTCCTCTCGATCATGAAATCCGAAAGGGCATATCGGCCAGCGGTCTTGCGTCTGGGCTGACCAGACTGAGAGCCAGTAGATGGGACGGGTACCTTTGCCGTGGCGGGCAGCTGACTTCCAGTCTCCAATGCTGCTTGCGTCGCGGCAGCATTGATGGCTGCAACGCGAGCCTGCTGGGTCGCGTTGTGAAGGTTGGCTTGGGCTTGAGCTGCCTATAGATGGTTGTGTCAGTAGAACGCCGAGACGTTGCGAGACCATATCCGACCTGCTCTTGCGCCTCCCGGGCCTTCTCCCTCATACGCTCTTCGTCAGCACTGCTGCTTCGCGATACGGAGCTAGTGATCTGCTGATTTGGGTCGTGGGCCTCCCCGGACGAGCCATGTACGCCAAGCGCAGCAGAGAGTGTGCGGGCTTGAGGGGGAATGTTGGAGAGTGAAGACGAAGCAGAGGACCCGGCTGCCGAGGGTTTGTGAGAGGTCTCGTCCTGGGGCATCACGGGAGTGGTGCTGGAAACACCCGTCAGCCACTCCCTAGTGAAGACCGAGACGCAACTCACCTTTCGATACCCTCCATTGGCGAATGATTCTGCGGCATCGCAGGAGCTGGTTGTCCTTGGCTGCTGACCTTGGAGAGTGCACCCGTTGGGGAGGATTGCTGTGTTTTTCCAGAGGAGGACGAGGACTGTTGCTTGCGGTGGAATTTGTCCGAGACCTTTTGGAACATTATTGAGAGCTACTTGAGGCAGCGAGACTGTAGCGGATGTCGGGCGGGGGTGAGGGACCCGGGGGGATAAAGGAGCTGGGTGGCGGCGGGCAGCGGGGAGATGGGCAGCGTAGCAGGGATCCGAGGGGAGATGGAGGATGGAGGGACAGACAGTAAGTGCTGCAGCTAAAGTACAGCAGATGGCATTATTGGAGCGATCCCCCGTCGTTGTTGTTGGCCGGAATGCTTCCGCTCAGGGTTTCATTTATGATTTATCCCAGGGACCGTCCTAATGCCTTCCTAATGCCTTCCTATGCATTACAAACTGTTCTCTAATGGGCTGGCCGGGGGCCGCCAAGGCGTGGCCTCCACTTGCCGTGTCAGCTGCCCGTCGAGCTTGCGTCGAGCGCGCCAGGTGGATCGTAACGTATTAACCCATCACATCTATCTCGCCGATGCCCTACACTGCACTCCCACAATGGCTATCTCGTCAGCATCTCGATTAGCGCTCGCCCCACCAGTTCTCAACGCTGCCCATCGCGGAGGTCTTCTCCTGACAGGCAAGGCCGCCACAAGAGCTCTCCGCCACTCGTCATCGGTTTCCCCCGAAAGTGCTGGCGTCAAGCGATTCCCTCCGTCTCGCACAGCGCCCAAAATCATCCACTCCAAGGCGACGCTCGAAGAGCCCTCTCTCGGGGAGAGTGCACTCTTTTTGAAGGATACGGAGAGCGCAAGTTTTGAAAGTGCTTCAGTGGACAAGCTCACTTTATGCAGGCTCTCCGGACACCTGGCCTGAGTTTTACGGACGGACATGGGCTAAAGGGGCTTACCGGAAAGGGACGCCAGACACGTCAGATGAACCTGTACCAGGCTATACGAGATGCTCTTGGGTGAGCGCGCCTCCGCCGCCCGGAGTGACCCGTTCAAAGCTGACGCGAGTCGACCTCCACCCCAGTACTGCCTTGGCACAAGATTCAAAAGCATTCGTGTTTGGAGAGGATGTCGAGACGGGTGTGTTTCGCTGTACCACCGGTCTTGTGGAGGAGTTTGGTAAGCACCCATCTCCCGCCTAAACTCTCATGTCAACAAGCAACGTACCAGGAAAGAAACGGGTATTCAATACACCCCTGACGGAACAAGGCATTGCTGTGAGGAGTTTGACCAGGGCCCGAGACAATGCTGACGGGAAATGCAGGGGTTTGGTATAGGTCTGGCTAGTCTTGGTGCACGTGCTATAGCAGAAATACAATTCGGAGACTATGTGAGCTACATTCAATCCGGGACCAATGCTGATACTGGGGTGCAGATATTTCCAGCATTTGATCAAGTAGGCCAAGTTACCGCCAGAGTACAATCGCTCACATGCGCATGCTTAGCTCGTCAACGAAGCGGCAAAGCAACGCTACGCGAGCGGCGGAGCCTACCCTCTTCCTGGAGGCAGCCTCACTGTTCGAGCTCCCATCGGCAGCGTGGGCCACGGCGGGCTGTATCATAGTCAAAGTCCCGAAGGGTTCTTTCTCGGAGCCGCAGGACTCAAGGTATTCATCCCTCGTTCTCCCATCCAGGCCAAAGGACTGCTTCTGGCAGCTATACGCGACCCTTCACCCACGCTTGTTCTAGAACCCAAGATCCTGTGAGTTTTGCCATGATGTCAGCACCACGCTGGGGAACTGACATAGGTCAAGGTATCGTGCTGCCGTGGAAGAGGTCCCGGTGGACGACTATACCCTGCCCATAGGTCAATCCGAGATGGTGAGGCCTGGTACTGATCTCACCATTGTATCATACGGTACCCCTCTACATATTGCGCGTAAGTTGGGTCTCTGTTGTTTGTTTCGATGCTCATTCCAAACAGGGCGAGCAATCTCTCTCATACAGTCTCCGCCCCCAGCGCTACACGCCCTACTCCCTCCCAAATTACGTGCGCCCAACTCGGCATCCTCCATTCAACTCATAGACCTTCGGACTATCAATCCCTTGCCTGTGGCGGATATTGTCAAAGCCGTGCGGAGCACCGGCCGGATGATCATTGTTCACGAGGCTGGCAGGAGCGGTGGAGTGGGTAACGATCTCATCGGGGAGGTTGATCGAAGGGCGTTCGAGTTTTTGGAGGCGCCTGTGGGCTTAGTGACGGGATGGGAGTGAGTTGGACTGCAGAATTTTTGGGCGATACTGACCCAAGAAGTACTCCTGTCCCCCTCTCCTTTGAGCGGTTCTACCAGCCAGATGTTATCCGAGTGTTTGACAAGATTGTCGAGACACTGTCGTATTGAATCAAGAATTGTAATGACGCGTCAAAGTTGTATACAAGAATACATTTACAGAAGAATGCTTTGCACGAGAACCGCTAAAGTAGACACCATCATGCACATCCAAGACTGTTGCCCATCAGTACGAGCCGATATTTGAATCTCCAACCGACCTTGTCTATATGCGTCCAAACGTATCAGAAAATGGAGTTGATTATACCGCTGCCAACAGCTGACCCAGCACCGAAACCAACGCCCGTTACCGCAGCTGTACCCAGCTACAAGTGTGTCAGCTTCGCTACGTGGTGATGCAAAACAATCTACCGGTCCGCCTATCTTGCCAAATTTGCCCTTGTTCTGTTCCGGCTGCTGCACGACTACGCCGCCCTGCATCTGTTGCTGGGGAGGCATCATGTGCATGGGCTGTTTGTGGTCGTAATATGGCTGTTGAGGTGGCTGATAGGGTACCATACCGCCTGGGGCGGGTGACGATTGATAGTAGGGGATCTGCTGAGGGGGCTGATGGGATTGTTGCAGCTGGGGTTCGCTTTGTGAAAGAGTCAGCGTCGTTCTTGGCATCCAGAGTCGACCCACATCTTTTCAACATAATTGGAAGGGAACAGGCCAGATCTGGGGAGAGGCGCATGGTGGCCGTTGGGTATCACCCTTCCTCTAGACCACTGGTCATTCACTAGAGCATGATCAGTACAAGTTTGGGGTGTGATGACCGAGTGCGCACCCTCCTCGTCGATGATGAGTATGTCGCCACTACGAAATTGCAAATCATCTGCTTGCTACAAGTCCTGTCAGGCCAATCCCACAGAGTCAGATGTGACTAACGGTTCCACTGAAGTCCCACAAAGCCTTCGCTCTCTGCTCCGCTGGGGGACGCTGCCTGGGCGGAAGTGTCGGAGGCCCGGGTGTCGAGGCGACGGAATGTGGCTGCTGCTGGGAGGGATCATCTCTGTGTTGGACAGCCCATGAGGAGGGCGACTGGGCAACGGTGAGGTTGGCGAAAGAGGCAGAGGGGGAGGGAGGGGCGAGACTGGGGAAGGGGCCGGTGGGTGAAGGGAGCTTCTGGCGGATGAGAGAGGCGTCTGAGGGGTTGAGGAGGGCGAGGGACTCGAGGAGGGCGATGGAGGAAAGGGTCTGGTTGATGAGGTGCGACGCGAATGCTTGAGCAGGCTGAGCGGCCATTGTGGACGTGGAGAGTGAGTGCGAGGTGATGTTGTCTATGTTGGTCCAAAGGATAGACGCGGCGCTCCCCGACGGCACAGCAGCGCAGTTACAGTATTCTCATGTATTATTATGCATACGATACAACACAAGGTTCTATGGGTGGTGGAATACAAGATGCTCTGCCATACTTCTACAACCTCGAGCCTCGGGGCTCGTCGTAATCTAGCGCGCAACGCTCATCTCGGCGCTCGGGCGATACCAAGTACCTTGCTGGCCGGGGGCTTTCATGGCAGATTAGCTAGCGTTCCGAGCACACAGCCCGAGTCCAGGGCTCACCTTCTCGACCTTGTTCTATACAGGTCGTAATCATAATCGTCTCTGCGTGGACGAGAGATGTAGCGGTCATAATCACGGGCAGGGTACCTGTCAGTGGCATAAGCAGAGTCCATGTCCCTGAAGTGGATGGCTCACCTCTCCCTGTACCGACCTCTCTCGTCGTGTCTCTGTCGTCCTCTGTGTTCGGGCAAGTCCCAGTAGGGACTGAATTTTGGGCCTCCGTGTCCTCTATACTCTTCATATCGCGGGCGTCCAAGAGGAATGTCGTCAGCTAGAAAGGCATCAAGATGTAAGCAATGCTGGGTTTGCTACTTGGAAACTTGGATTTGATTTACGGATTGCTCTTTGAAGGCCCAAGTATTGACCTGGTGTGGGGTCATGCGGCTTGCGAGTGGCAGAGAAGTCGACTCGGATGTGGCGTCCGTGGATATTGTTGCCGTTTAGCTTGGTGATGCAGATGGAAGCATCGTCGACTGATCGCATGGTGATGAAGCCAAAGCCTCGAGAACGCCCGGTCTGGGAAACGTCAGCACACGCCCGCAGTACTGTGGCAGCTACGCACTCTCTGATCATAGACGATGACGACCTTTTCAACTTGCCCATACAAGCTAAACTCTTCGCGCAGATCCTTTTCGGTGGTTCTTACTGAGAGACCAAACACACCCAGGATATTTGTCGGGTTTGCATCGGGAGCGTTGGAGGGTTTTGGGGGGGTGTAGGTGTCGTCCTCGACGAGGCTGTCGCTCGGAGAAGGAGATCGTACGTTTGCGGTATAGGCCATTCTGTAGACGTGTGGTGTCAGTGCTGCATCTTTGACACTGTGGTAAGGGCTTTATATATCCTGCGCTGGGCGCAGAATAAAGGAAGAGCTTGTAGATTCCACAAAGAGACGAATGCGAAGGATACCACTGAACGATCCTTTCTTCCAAGCAGCTCCTTCCGCAACGGTCCTTGCCCCGTCGATTGGCGCACCAACGGGAGCGTCTACAAGAGATGCGGCTGGAACGGTAGAACTAGGCCTTGGACGACAGAAGGGGAAGGCAGACTCACAGCCTGTCTATTTCAGCCTGCAGCTCATCCCGCTCGTTGTCGTACGAGCCAGGGGAGGAACGGGAGGGGGCGGAGGAGGGGTAGGCAATGTAGCCGGGATAAGGGAGCCTGTTTTCCCATGGGCCGGGAGAGGATGGCACGTATGCGGCGGAAAAGGCCTGGGATGGGATGTGAGCTGGGCGGGGCAGGGAGGAGAGGCGTACCATGGTGTTGAGGATTCGTTGACAGGTGGCCGTCCGTCGGTCCCAGCCGGGGTGTGGTGTATGCAATATGTAATATGATTATGCGCTGGATGGATAGATGGGGTATGCATGGGATGATGGGGTAGCTGGGCGATTACGATATAAGTATCTGTATAACAGGGCAGCTGAGAGTCTGAGACTGCAGCAACAGTTCCAGACTCCATCCCACAACAGAGCAGGGCCCAGACCACCCGCCTGCACCTCGTTTTCCACGTGGCCCCCCTCCACCTCCACCTCCACCTTGCCTCCACTCGCTCTCCGCTCTCCGTCGTTCTTCCGCCGCTGCCTGCCACTGCATTTGCACACACCATGCCCTGGCAGAAACAGTTGTGCGTACCACTCGGCGCTCACCCCCGCTCACCCCTCCAGCACCCTCCCCCCAAACACAAAGGGCATGCATCTCGTCACCAGCGACGTCTTGCATGCCTGCCAGGAAGGCCTCAAGGGCGTCGACGTCGGTATCTTTACCCTCCACTGCCTGCACACCTCATGTGCGCGCCCCGGAGGGGCGTTGGGTGGCTTGGGTGGCCTGGCGATAGCCAGGCTGGGGCCGGAGGCCATTAGGCGCTGCATGCATCTGTATCGCGCCGATAGGCGCCTCAATCTGAGCTTTATATGTTTGCATACTTGCAATCGTGGATCAGGCGGTCATAGTGCGGCGCATGTAGGCGCCCCGGAGGGGGCGTTGGGTGGCCTGGTGGTGGTGGTGATGGATGATGATGATATGAGCTTGAATGCGGCGTATGTTCGTTACGTAACTTTGGGCCAGGCAATTGCGCGTCCATATGAGCGGCGGTCCGTAGTAAGTCCTGGGTTCAATCGGGGGGATCGACTGCCTCTGGCCTCTTATTCTGTCCACCTGGCATGTACTCTACTAGTACATGCGCCACAGGGTGCTTGTGTCGCCACCCCGTCTCAACTGACCCTCTCTATCGGTCAATTACGTAATGTACTTGACGCGTTGGCGCCACCATGACCCATCATTGTTCAACCTTGTTGGTTCAACCACTGTCAAACACCACCGTACTTGGCTTCTCCTTTATCCATTCTGATTTGCATCCATGCATACACTCGACAAGCCATTGTAGACCATGACCAAGTCCACCCGTACCACTTTTGTTCAGCAGGCGTCCTCCACCACTTGCCCCCGAAGGTGTCTTGCACCAGCAGCGTCTCCATAGCGTCCGACGGGAACCTCCCGTCTCCCAGAGAGGGGGAATATTGGCGGACATCACCGGACTCTCTATTCTCCTACCACCACTAATATAAATGGACGCTGACTATCATTCGCTTCCCTGGGAGCACACTGATGAAGGACCCGAGTAGGTCTTTTGTTATTTCCAAGACCCCAGTTTTGATTCTCCTCAGCGACTCTGTTTCCCACCTCAAGACCTCACTCATCGGCAACTCGGTCACGATTCCCATCTCCAAGGGGAAATTTGTGCTCGGCACCTGGCAAGGTATATATCTGGCGGAATTCAGGCATAGCGGAGCGGGATGGGGCGGTAGAGGATCAGGAAGAAAGGTTGTTGCGACCATCCTGTAAGTATAGCAAGAGTGCACGGGATCGAGCTGATCAGACTAGCCCATGAGCTGGAAATATATGCCTTTGAAAGTAACTATGCAGAAAATTGAACAGCGTGCCACCCTCTGCTATCCCAATCTGTCTTGGTATCCGCAGCACCTCCATCTATCGACTGTTGCTCCGCTGCCCACTTGTCCACCGACGTCTTGACTCTATGCCGCATCCCCGCTCCCAGAACATCGACAATCGCCAGACTGGCATTGAGCCCATACACCATTGTGGCAGCATAGAAAAAATTGGCGTTGCCTGTACCGGTGAGCAGCCATAGCGAATGGAGCAGGGGCAGTAGAATGGCCGTGTAGAGGTGGACAGTGAGGGTGAAGAGTGGGTGTCGCAAGTCTGCAACCGTTTGTGAACCCCGCCCTGATCAGGCTGATGAGATGACATACTCGAAACAATGTCGGGGAAACACCCCAGAAGGCCGGCCCAGAGTGCCATGTCGCCCAAAGACGGGTAGCTCTTCCATGTGCTGATGATGCCGACCAAGAGCAATAGTGCAAACAGGGGATCGTCAGACAATCTCAAGCAGATGGGTGCCACATAGATGACTGTATGCAGCTGTGTGGTGTCAGCACGGCTCAACGAGCGTTACGACTTGCCTGGAAAACGCCAAGGAAAAAAGTATGAAAGTGGTCAAACATCTCTGTAAAGAAATACCACCACATCCCAACGTTTGGAGTAAGATCAGCAACAGAGACTCTGCTGCAAGTGAGTATGAGGACAAGAGGGCGACGCTTACTTACACGAGTCCTAGGGTATGCGGAACCCAGCTCCATCTGACCATGGAATGACCGAGAATGGACACAGCGGACGCGCTGGTGGCCACCGTTGCTACAGATTGGATTGCCAGTCGCGTACCAGAGACTGTGTTGTGTTTCCAGAGAAGCATGATGATGGGCGGGAATAGCAGCACCGGGTAGACGCAGGCTGCTGATGCAATGGTAAGGATGAACAACGCCACGGAAATGTTGCCTGATTCGAGCATCAGAGCTGTTGCGACTATACTTTGACATACCGTCAATTGCGGCCGAGATTGCGGTGAGCAGGATCGCGCTGTCTATGCTTGCTGTCGACCTTGCCAAGCACGTGGCCAGAGTGTATGGGTTGAAGAGATATCTATGCTCGCTGTCAGACGACGCCAGTCTCTAGTCGCCACTCACAATGCAGCCACGAGTGCATTTCGTGAAGCACTACTGCCACGTCTTGCCCCTGCTATTCGCAAGAGGCGCCCGGAGCTCCAGAGGTCGACGAGTGTCCATAGAGCAGCCGTAGCCAGGGGTGATGCTATAGGGACGACATGGGTGAATATGCCTAGGTAGATCGGAGACTGGGCATGGCGTTAGTCGGGCTGCAGGCATGGGCGGATTCGACTTGCATGATAGAGGGTGCCGCCTATGTATGGGTTGGTGCCATGGCTGTAGAGAAAGACGCCTTCTTTTACTGGGGGATGCCGGGGTCAGCGGGGAGTGAATGGGGGGTGCATGCGACTGACAGCTGCGAAAGGAGACGAGCGGGGTGGATATCTCGGGCCTCGGTTGTAGGAGGGCGGGCAGGCTGGGGAGGGCAAAGGCTGCGAGGCGGAGGAGGGCGGCGGCGGCGAGGACGGCGGGGGGCATGGGGGGATGGCGAGAAGAGGCGGATGAGGGAGAGGCGGAGGCGGCGAGGGGCGACGAGTATCCTTGCTGTATGCGGTGAATGCATCTCTTCTCTTCTCTTTCTGTCCCTACTCCTGGAACCCCAGCGAGTCCATCTTACAGGACATACACCCACCCATCGCCCACCCATGACTCCCGGACCCCTCAACACCACTGACAACCAGACGGGTACCACCTCTGCCTGGGCTCGCGGGCCTCCCAACAAAGCCCCCTCTGCCCCCAACAACGCCCCCTCGGGCACAAGCACCCCCAGCCATCCCGCCCCAGTCCTGCCCAGCCACGGCCCCTCCGCCATCCCAATCGGCGGTGGCGGCCACTCGCGCAAGAACAGCCTCTTGGTAGCCGGCAATGGCGAATTCAAGAAAGGTTGGTCCCCGCATCACTGCCTCTCCCAGGTGTGCAGAGGACGTCTGCTGATGCTATCGCCCATAGGCAACCTCGCTTTCGGCACCGTCGACTCGCCCACCGCCGCGCTGTCGTCGTCTCCCGCCGCCCCGTCCATGACGGGCGGCCATCTTTCCGACGCCGTCAGGTCGTTCGGCTCGATCGACGCTGCCGACAAGCAGGACGGTCCAGATGCAATCAGCTCCCGCCGAAGCAGTGTGCTCGGAAACGCTGCCGCAGGTCCATCGCAGGGCAAGAAGCTCGGTATCCATGCCCTCTTCTCCAGCAAGGCACCCCAGCCTCATACAGCCCCTCAGCCCCAGCCGGTCATGTCTCCGCCACAACACCACCATCCGCCCGCACCCATTCACCACAACAGACGCCAGTCGTTCGGACACAATGGAGGTGCATTTCAGCAGCCGATGGCGGGATCACCTAATCAGCACTTTGTAGGATCCCCTCACATGAGGCCACCAGGTGCCCACCCGCGCTCTCCGGTTCCGAATCACAATATGCCGTTCAATCCGTCCGCGCCTCAGCAGATTCAGCATGGTTTCAGACCGCCCCAGCAGCCCCAGATCAGGCCAAACAACATGCCGCGGGGGGGACCGGGGCAGTACGGCATGCATTCCGGACCCCAGGGACTTCCGTATCCCATCATGGGCTTTCCTCAAGGCAACTTTTATGTGGGTCTCTCTGCCATTGGTTAATGGTCACTAATGTCGTCGATGTGAAGCCCGGTGCATACAATCCGTATGAGCAACATCAGCAGCAGCAAAACTTTGGTGGGCCGCCCTCGCAGTGGGTGCCCCAACAGTCCCAGTCACCGCAACAGCACTTTGGCAGCGGCTATCCGCCATCTGCTCCTGGTCCTGTATCGCCGAGAGCCCAATCCCAGATGCTCTCGCCTCCAACCCAATCCCCTCTGCCTCCTCCCCCGGCTGTGGCAAACGAAGGGACAAGTCCTGTCCCTACCCCTCCTATGCGCCCTCCCAGTCTGATGAGCAGTCACCATCACTCGTTATCAAACGCGTCTGTGGCATCAATACCGCATCAGAGCACTGGCAGCACAGTCGGGGGACCGTCAACTTATCTTTCTGGTAACGCTACCAACTTTGCACCTCGGAAATCAGCTGCTGTCAAGATATCGCGGCCAGATGGCACTGCTCTCGATCTTGAAAACATCAAGGAGGCCGCGAAACCAGCAGAGGCCGCATCCAGCACCAACCCGGTCTCGGCGTCAACCACCCCCGGATCGGAAGTCTTGAAGAAAAGAGCCCTGCCCACTGTCGTGCGCATCGAGTCTGAAGAGCAGAGGCAGAAACGGATGGCGGAAGAAGCGCGGGCAAAGGAGCTCAAGAATGCAGATGATATTGCAGAGAAGGAAAGAAAAGAGAGAATGGAGAGAAAGGCGAAGGATGAGCAGGAAAAGAAGGACAAAGAGGCCAAGGACAAGTCGGACAAGGACGCTTCTGAAAAGGTACGTCCCCATACATGTGAATGATGGTGGCAACTAATCGATCAAATGACAGGCTGCAGCCGATGCCAAGAAGGCAGAGGACGAAAAGAAGCGGTTTGAGGCGGCCCTCGCAGCCCAAGCCGCCGCGGCCAAAAAGGTCGAGGAAGAAAAGGCCGCAGCGGTCAAAGCAGCGCTGGAAAAGTCTGAAAAGGCGGAAGAAGAAAAGGCCAAAGCTCACGCGGCCACTTTGGAAGCTAGATCAAAAGCCGAGGAGCAGCTTCGGGCCATCGTCGAGACCCCGAGCACCTCCGTCACACCGTCTCCCATGGGCTCTCCAGCCCTGGGTGCCGGACTGCCTGCCAAGCCCGTTGCCGCTCTCGGTGCTGCCAAGCGTACCCCGCCCTCTGCACTCAATCTTGCCACAGCATCCGAATCGCCCGCTCCTCTCACAGCTTCTGCTTCTGCTCTCACCAGTGCCCGTCCAATCGATGACATTACCTCTGTCAATTATCCCCATGCCCTCTTGTCTCCCAGCATCGACCTCAACAAGAACGCCGAGCCCGGAAAATTCCGCTACGACCGTGGCTTCTTGATGCAGTTTATGAATGTCTGCAGGGAAAAGCCAGAGAGTCTTCCGCCTCTCGAGGACCTCGGTCTCGATGTCGACGGTGCTAGCGGGTTTGGAGGCCGCGGTGGCTCTTCTCGTGGGAGCCGATCTTCCATGGGCCCATCAAGTCGTGTACCTGGCGGTGCCGGGGCAACTGGTCTCGGCGTCACTGGCGCTCGTTCTTCCTACCCAAACAGCTTTGGCACTGGTCAATTTGGGTCCGGTCCGGGATCTCTCCGTGGTTCTACCAGCGAGTCACGCTACCATGCCAGCCTGGGACCGCGAGCTCCCAGCGGCCGCGGTGCCCCGGGTGGCATCGGCTCCTTCTCGGGTCTGCCGTCAATGGGTATCACCAATTCTCGAAACGGTGCCAGCCGTGGAAGTCAGCGTGGCAGCAAACGCGTTCCGTCTCAAGCCATGGCGCCACCTGCGCCGGCAATTCCTATCTCTGAGAACGCCTGGACACGAACTCGGCTTGGTACCAACGACGAGAGCTCCCCCGCCTTCATTGAGCGAAAGGTGAAGGCCCTCCTCAATAAGCTTACGGAGGAAAAGTTCGACCCTATCTCCAAGCAGATCCTCGAATGGGCCAACAAATCTGCCAATGAAGAGGATCACATGACGCTCAAACTTGTCATCAAACTCATCTTTGAGAAAGCTACCGACGAGGCCCATTGGTCGGCCATGTATGCCAAACTTTGTCGGCTGATTCATGACCAGCTGGATCAAGCCGTGACTGAAACCACCGCCGATAACAAGGTGTACTCTGGTCGGGCTCTTTTCCGTCGCTATCTTCTCGGACGATGTCAGCAGGACTTTCAAAGTGGCTGGAAAGCCCGCGAAGACACTGCCGTGGCTGCTGCGGCCAAGGAAAAGGAAGACGGCGCCAAGGTGGCCGAAAAGGAGATGGAGAAGAAGCCGGAAGGTGGCGAAGAGAAGGAAGCTGTTCTCTTGAGCGACGAGTATTATGCTGCCCAAAAGGCCAAGCGACGAGGCCTCGGTCTGGTCCAACTGATTGGAGAGATGTACAAGTTGGACATTCTCACCTATCGGGTCATCACCGAGTGCTTGACAAAACTCCTTGCCAACTTTGAAAAGCCTGACGAGGAAGACGTCGAATCAGCCTGCAAACTCTTGACAACGGTGGGTGACAAGCTTGTCAAGGCCAACCCAGATTTGCTCGACGGTTCCTTCACTGCTCTGGAGAAGATTCTGAAGAATGATGACCTGCCATCACGGATCCGCTTCATGATAATGGTGAGTGTCGACATGTACATTGCGATTCCCTGTCAGCTGACAAATTCTAGGACGTTCAAGATCTTCGACGAGACGGATTCCGTTCACAAAAGAACCAATCAAGTGTGATGACTATCGCCGAAATTCACAAACAGGCAGCCAAGGAAAAGAATGCAGCCTCCGCTAGAGAATCCATGTCACGAGGTGGTTCGCGAGCAGGTGGTAGACGTGATCCCCCACAACAGCCTGGGGACTGGCAAGCAGTACCTGGTGGGCCTCGAGTGGCCGGTCGCCCGGTTGACTTTGCTGGTATCGGGCGAGGTCTCAGTAGCTCTGCGCGCACCTCTTCACCTAGCTTTGCTGGGCCAACATCTGTATTCAGCAGGAAGGGGGGAAATACAGCCTCTCCGGCTCCCCCAGTCTCACGCTCAACGTCCTCAAACATGTTCAGTGCTTTAACTGATGGCCAAGACAATACCGGCTCGTCTGCCTCAAGAAGAGACAGTGCGGATGCCGGTGAGCCAACGCCTCAACGAAAAAGGTTATCTTTGGCCCCACGTACCAAACCTGTGCCTACTGAGGGTGATGAGGAGGAAGATCCCCAGGATGGAGAGGGTGGGGAGTCTGGAGAGTCTGAAGAAGACCTCAGTGAGGAGCAGGCGAAAGAAAAGATCAATCTGGATATGAAGGAGCTATGGGGTGAGAAGGATCAAGGAGGGTCGAGAAATCCTGGGGATGTCGTGGAATACTTTACTTCTTTGCCTCAAAATCTGCGCCACTTGTTGGCTGCTCGTTTGCTGGAAGATGTTTTCCGTCTGTCAAAACCGAGGGACGCGGAGGTCGTGGCGAAGGGTTGGAAAGCCGCCCTGGAAGCCCAAGCCGTACCTGTTGCAGTGTTCAAGGAAACGTAAGTGAATTATCTTTGCATGAGCGTCTTACTGAAACCTCGCATAGTCTCGAGGAGCGAGTTGTCTCTTTGGACGATGATGCCGTGGATTTCCCCGGTGCTTATAAGGCGGTCGGCGAGCTCATCCGGTCTCTCTCTTTGGCCGACGAAGAAATCCAAAATCTGATATCCAAAATCGAGGTGTACGGGCAACCCCGGGTGACGCCACAACAAAAGCTTGAGAAGGCTCTCAAGGAGATTGATGGAGAGGCATAGAGAGGGTTTCCGCTTGGTTTACTTATTACTTTCAAAAGACATCTATTTCAACTTTTGTATATTTTCCTCTGTGTGATTACAGCCTTCGGCATAGCCATGGCTTTCATGTATTGTATGCTTTCTCTAATGCGATATACTACTGTGCGCGCTCGTAAATGACACGGTTTTGGCTGACCCGGCGGCCGCCGCGGCGCTGTCACCTTTGTCTCCCGTGATGGCATGAAGATGTTCTCTCATTCTGCAGCTCTGTACATACTCATCGTATCATTCGCTTCATCCTAGCCACGGCGACCATGTCGACTGACGAGGAAACACCACCTTCATCATCTCTGGCAAAGAAGACGACTTCGACCCTTCTCGATGGCAACCACACTTTCCCCGCATTATACGTCTGTTATCTTCTCAGATCCAAAGCATCTCCCCAGTCGAATCGTACCTATGTACGCCAAGAGGAAATTGCACTGAGTATGGCGTAGCTGACGGCTCTATTTAGGTCGGCTCCACTCCCGATCCACCCAGGCGCATCCGGCAGCATAATGGCGAATTGAAGCAAGGCGCCTGGGCTACGTCCAAATTCAGACCATGGGTGCGTTCTTCATCGATTCAACAAGTCAGTGGACTAAGCGAATCAAACTCAGGAAATGCAAATGATTGTATATGGGCAAGTATGACTAGAGTCGGCGACGAAATCGCTGATTCCTCTCCAGATTCCCGAGTAAATTAACTGCGCTTCAGGTCCGTCTAGCGGAGTCACGATACGACCTGGAACTTGACTGATCACCTTAGCAAGTTTGAATGGGCGTGGCAAAAGCCAGAGCTATCGCGTCATTTGCGTCTTCAAAGTGCAGAATCAAGGAAAGAGACAGTGCCCATATTTTCAAAGGACACCAAACGGAACTGGGTTGAGAGAAAGATATGGTACGTCTTCTTTGATGAGACGAGATGTAAGCTAATGCGTGTCAGTGTGGCGTATGCCCTTTTGGCTCTTCCCCCCTTCTCCCGACTGCCTCTGCATATCCGATTCTTCGTCACTGAAGCCAAGGACATGTATGAGTCCATCCATCATACTGTTCTCGCTCATGAACCACTTCCCAAAACTCGCAAGAAACCTGTGAATCCTCTACATCTCATTCCCCAGGCTGTGAACCCTTCTGTGACGACCATGTTGGATCTGGGCGGCGTTTCGGGTGCAACAGGGAAGAGGAGGGAAAGTACGCGGGGTGTGCAGAGCAGAGATGGGCCGATCGATGTGAAGGACACAGAGTTTCGGCAAGGTCGGCGGGTGTGGGGGAAATGGGAAGAGGTTAGAGAGCGGATCGCTCTAGATGAAGATGTGGCAAGGTGTTGTCGTTGTGAAAAGATGGTCGATTGTCACGTGAGTCCCTCTTCATGCGATGCGTCTTTTTGACACTGACCAGCCAATGTGACAGGACCAATTGTCCTTTGCGCTTTGCCCTAGTGACCGTTTGGAACCTTGTCTCTGTATCACACACCTGCAGTGTCTTGCGGAGCACCTGCTTCAAGATTCGCCCTCTCGGAGCAGTCTCTTACCACACCGGGGCTCATGCCCTTGTTGTCTAGAAGAGATCGAGTGGGGCGAAGTCATCCGAGCGTGCTATGGCCGGAGAGATGGCATCGAGCGAGAGATGCAAAAGCAAAAGCCGAAAGCACACAATGAGCGGAATAACAAACCCAAAGCGGACAGCGAGTCGGAGACAGATACGACAAATTCACTGGGGACAGGGTCGGGTCTTGATTCGACACCCAGTCTCAACCGACGCCAAGGACAGCGAGTGCAGAGGAAAAAGGTAGTACGGAAGGCGCCACCTCCGAGGGGGAAATCTGCCAAGTCAGCCATATCGCAAGTGACGTGCTCAAGTGAGGAATCTAGTGGTGAAGCCGAGTGGGAGGGGTTTGAACGAGAGATGATGGCTCTCAATTAGACTAGATATGACATGACATGACTTGCTATCTGTTACTTGTAGCAACGCCAGAATCTCGTTCTGCTTCACCCTCTGTGTCCCTCCGGTCTCCCCCTGATATATTGAGTCTGTCGCCTAGTTGAGAAGCGAGATCGCCATGTGACTGGCTAGGCGATGCTGGCGTGTGGGGCTTGGTCTCGGCGGCCTCGGTGGCGGGGGAAACGCTGGTTTCAGGAGTGATGTCTTCGTCCTTGCCCTGATCCTTTCCTTCCTCTTCCTCTTCATCTTCCTCTTCCTCTTCCTCTTCCTCCTCTAGCTCGCCATCTTCATCCGATGTCACGTAATCCTCCCAATCCAGCTGAGCATTGGTCTCAAGTCAGCAGAGGCACCCGACCAAGTGTGTGCAGGTATACCTACATAGTCATAGATAACCCGAACTATGAGACTGCAGCTAGGGCAGATAGCAATCTCCTCGCCGTCTCGCAGCTGGCCCTTGGAGATTTCGAAGCGGTCTCCACACGGACAAGGATAATGGAAGAGATTTGCCACCGGGTCCCATGCAAAGTCCTCTATCTCGAGCTCGTCGTAGTAGTTGGGCATTCTGCGGAGGGCAGGCTGGAGGGAGCTGTGTTGCTGCTGTCTGTGCAAGAGAGACACAAACAGCCTCACATCTGCAACAACAACAAAACAACAAAGTTTTGGCGTAAGTGGGGGGCAGACGGCCTGCCTCGGCTCGGGTCACCGCGCTGGGCTCCACACGGGCGGCCCTCCCCGCCGCGGCCCCACGTCACGGGCAGTCCACTACCACTTGCCCATTTGCATCCCATCCCTCATCTGCATCTCAACATGTCTCAGCCGCTCCCTGCCGACGGTGTGTCCCTCATCCTCTCTCCTCTGCCCCCCATTTCACCCCTCTTCCCCCGCCCCCCACTGACACCCACCAGGCACAGGCGTGGTCACACTCGACCCATGGTAAGACACACGCTCCACGCATCCTATTCATCGCTCACACCGTTCGCAGGCTCGAGCCATTCTCCAGCTCTCTCAAGGAGCGATATTCTGCTTATCAAAAGCAACGCAGTGTCATCGACAAGCACGAGGGCGGCCTGGCCAAGTTCTCTGAAGGATACAAGACAATGGGTTTCCAAGTGGACGCCGAGGGCGGAGTGCGTTATCGGGAGTGGGCCCCCAATGCCCTCGAGGCCAGGCTGATTGGTGACTTTAGTGAGTTGTAAACAGTCTGTTCTGGTGCCAAGTTGATACGCTACAGATCAGTGGTCGCATACGGCCAACCCCATGACAAAGGATACCTTCGGCGTGTTTGAATGCTATGTCCCGCCCATCTCTCCTAGGGTCTGTGCAATCCCTCACGACTCTATGGTCAAGATCTCCATGACTGTGCCCGGTGGCACCTCCATCGATCGAATCCCCACCTGGCTCACCCGTGTCACTCAAGATCTCAACATCTCCCCTATCTATGACGGAAGGTTTTGGAATCCTCCTCAGAATGAGACGTACCAGTTCAAGTATGGACACTCTCAGCAGTCTGTGGATGGGCTCAAGATCTACGAGGCTCATGGTGAGTGTATTGTGCGCCGTGTTTATCAACGACGCTGACTATCCTGGACAGTGGGCATATCCAGCCCGAACATGCGAGTCACAACCTACAAAGAGTTTGAAACAGACGTGTTGCCAAGGATCAAAGAGCTTGGATACAACTGCATTCAGATGTAAGTCCGTCGCGTTCTCACGTACTCTACTAACTTGTGCATGTGATTGACAGGATGGCCATCATGGAGCACGCATATTACGCCTGTGAGTGGACTATTGCGCTCACGGATATGCCAGCTGACGCCTATTCCCAGCTTTTGGCTACCAAGTTTCCAACTTCTTTGCAGCGTCTTCGCGTTATGGTACGTGCACAGTATAGACAGGTGACAGGGGCTCACCACTGTACAGGTACCCCGGAGGAACTCAAATCTCTCATTGACAAGGCACATGAGCTTGGTTTCACTGTTCTTTTGGATGTTGTCCACTCTCATGCTTGCAAAAACATTCTAGATGGGTGAGTACATGTGTTTCTGCAGCGCAACAACAGTCCACTAACAGCTATCATGTCTCAGCATCAACATATTTGACGGTTCAGACCACCTCTATTTCCATGAAGGCGCAAAGGGTCGCCATGAGCTTTGGGACTCTCGCCTTTTCAATTATGGCAGTCACGAAGTCCTTCGCTTCCTCCTCTCGAATCTGCGCTTTTGGATGGACACATTCATGTTTGATGGATTCAGATTTGACGGTGTCACAAGCATGATGTACAAACATCATGGTATTGGAACAGGGTTCTCAGGTGAGCCATGCCCTACATGTCATTGACCATGGACTCACCATATGGATTCTGTCAGGTGGCTACCATGAATATTTTGGAGAAGGTGTTGACACAGAGGCTATGGTGTACTTGATGCTTGTGGGTACCTCTCAACTTGTTCTTTTCTCCTGTTGACTTGCTATTACAGGCCAATGCCATGCTTCATGAAGTTTACCCCCACGTTATCACCATAGCGGAGGACGTCTCTGGCATGCCCACCCTGTGTCGCCCAGTTGCTGAAGGTGGTGTGGGCTTTGATTATCGATTATCAATGGCAATACCAGACATGTGGATCAAGCTTCTCAAGGAAAAATCAGATGATGAGTGGGATATTGGAAACATTTGCCATACCCTCACCAACCGACGTCATCAAGAGAAGAGTGTTGCTTATGCTGAGAGCCATGATCAAGCCTTGGTGGGAGACAAGACGTTGGCTTTCTGGTTGATGGATAAAGAGATGTGTGAGTCAATTTTGGTGAGCTGTATGGGAGGGATTGCTCATTTTATCTCAGATGAAAACATGTCAGATTTCTCGCCCTTAACTCCAGTTGTTGATCGAGGTTTAGCTCTTCACAAGATGATCAGGTGACTCCATGATTACTTCCCTTCTTTGCAATGTCACTGATGTCAGTGTCATAGATTCTTGGTGCACACTTTGGGAGGAGAGGCATACCTTAACTTTGAAGGAAATGAGTTTGGACATCCAGAGTAAGCTGCTATGCTCACAATAGCACTTCTGTTACTGACCAAGCATCTTGCTAGATGGATGGATTTCCCCCGAGAAGGCAACAACAACAGTTTCTCCCATGCTCGCCGTCAATTCAATTTGGTTGATGACAAAAATCTGAGGTACAAATATCTCTATGACTTTGACTCGGTCATGAACAATTTGGAAAGCCACTTCAAGTGGCTCAGTGCCCCTCAGGTGTGTTCTGTCTGTTCTCTTTGTGGCTGTATGGGTGTGCTCATCATTATTCATTGTCCACAGGCCTATGTTTCTCTCAAGCATGAAGGTGACAAGGTGATTGTGTTTGAGAGGGCGGGTCTTCTGTTCATCTTCAACTGTAAGCAGTATCCTTTGCCAATTGTGCAATCACTGATTTTTATTCTTTTCATAGTCCATCCTACTCAGTCTTTTGTGGACTACAGGGTTGGAGTTGAAGCATCTGGGGAATACAAGGTGGTGCTCACCAGTGATGATACACGATTTGGTGGTCATGCCCGGGTTGATGTCAACAGCAAGTATCACACAACAGCATCCGAGTGGAATGGGAGAAAGAACTGGCTGCAGGTATATGCTCCTTCTAGGACTGTGTTGGTCCTTGGTTTGTAGTCAAAATTCACTTGGAAGAAATTGTGTACTGAAGCTCTGGTATTGTATGGTAATGAAAGAGGAATATGTGATACTTGCAAGAGAGTTATTTTCCCTGACATATGGAATGAAAGTGGAGGGATGGGCATACAAAAGTGTTGGACCAAACAACCTTCAGCACAAGTCTATTGACTAGACACCGGCACTAAGCAGTAAAAGGCATGAAGAAGAAAAGATCAAAAGAAAGAAAGGATTTGTTGCAATGGTTTGCTATAAGTCCATGTAGCACAACACCTGGCAAAGTCACAGAGATTGGCATAGTAGCAAGGCAGATCAGCCAACTATGCAAAGTAGCCTGGCATATGAGAGAGATTGGCATATTAACTAGGAAAGCCCCTGAACATGATATCATACTAGGTATATAAAGCTAAGAGGGGATTCAAGCCCTGATCCAAAATGAGCATCCATAAGTTATGTTGCGTGACTGGTTCCATCTTGCCCCATGCAGCTCTGTCTCCATCTCTTTCTATGTCCCTGTCTCTCTTCAAGTCCCTCTTTGTGTACTACATCTTTCTTATCTAGGGTGGCACTATGTACAACATACATGTGGACTATCTGTAAGGGATTGGTACAGACTGGCTAGGAGGATATGTTGTGATGTGTACTATGGAACACAGGGTTCAGTGACTAGGGTTGCCGCTATGGTCTCAGGGATGTGTAGGCGGGATTGCGAGATGAGGTCCCCATATATATATATATATATCGTGCCGCGTCTGGTATCCTTTTCCCTACCTATGTATTCTCGTATAAACCTCCTCACCTATATCCATCCTTCATCCATCCAGTCTATTCAAGGTCGGCAGCTAGCGCCCCTAGCTAGATCCACCGCGTAACCGCCCCTAGGCCGCGCACCATCTCACCAACCCTTACACTATTCTTAGCACACACTTCCATGTTACTCCTCTTTCTTGAATGTGATTAGCTCTACCTACGTCTTGCCCTGTACCTGTACCCCTATCCGTATCCTGAGCTGTTCTGTACCATATCCTTTTAGCTTAGTCACATAACCACACATATATCAGGGACTTTCATGTATATAAGGAGACAAGGTGCTGGGATTGAGACCTCTTTTCATGAACATCTCTCCACCTCCTCTCCTTCCTTTGACTTCCCAGCTATGCTAAAAGCCCTTGCCCAAGCACTCCAGTGTCTTCCTGCCCAAGTGCTTAGACTCAACCGCAAATACACTTGGTGCATCCAACAAGTGTCTCCCCAAGGTGGGCCTGATCACCACAAGTTCACAAAGACTCAATCAAACTGCCCCTTTGCACACACTCACTCCTCATAATCTCCCACCTCTCTTTGCTTGTCTGATCTCCCTGAGCTCATGTATGACTTTCATGCATGACTTCAATTGACAAGTGTAGGGTCAGTCTTCCATTGACCCACCAGTTTAAGTAGATGATTGCATCCTATCCCCTCTTAAGTGATGAGTCTTCTTGGTACAGCAGTTTGTGGCAAATGTTCTATAAGTATTCCTCTTTGTGTCTAAGCTGCCGGAATTGTGCTTCAAGGATATTGCTTACTCATGACAATAGGGGAATTCAATTTGGGGTTTAAGAGCGGTCTTAAACCATTTGGCTCGCTTAAGGTGTCAGGTTGTGGTCAGGGCTCAGGGACATGCAGATCCTACCCTGATCAGGGTCCATTTTCGCATTTTGACAGCTCCGAATCGGACCTTCCTGATGAGGCAATTTTGCCAGTTTAAGACCGCCTTAAACCGCCAAGTTTAAGAGTGAATCTGAGCTACTCTTAAACAGAGCGGTCTTTAACTTGAGAACGCGCTCAATTGACAGAAAAATGCGACACATTGTCATTTTATTTCTCTTCTCTATCCATCGCAAAATCATCCCTTCCGCTCCCCTTTCATCAAACACCAACCACATTTATCCACTCTCAACATGCCAACCCACGCCCGTTATGTGCTTTGAGTACGAGTGATGTACTTTAGCCCTATTCATGACTGTGTGACCCGTCTCTTGCCCAAGAGACCTTCATGCA